GCCCAAGCCGGCGGCACCGCCACCCTGGTGCCTTTAGGTAACTAAAGGCACCGGGGTTGCGGTGCCACCGGCTTGGGCCCGTAATCGCTGCTCGCAGCTATATTTTTGAACTTTATTCTTGTTCAAACAGATGCTGTATGAAGCAGTAAAGTATTGAATGAAAATGTGTCTGAAATATCTGTGTATTTGGCAAATATTGCATTTATTTCACTTCAGCTGTGCTAAAGTATGCAAACACCACGTGAGCGGTCACTACGGGAACCAGAAAGTGTCCGACTTCACGTCTCCGTTTGCAGCTCCTCCCCGCCTGCACGCGGCAACTCTCGCCGATCGGTTACATCCAGCCGCAGCCGATGTCGAACACACCTAGTGTTTTTTGCTCTGCACATAGCGCCATCTGACCAATCAGAGCAGAGTAGACCAACCACAACAGACTGGGCCCTCTGACCAATCAGAGCAGAGTAGACCAACCACAACAGACTGGGCCCTCTGACCAATCAGAGCAGAGTAGACAAATCATAACAGACTGGGCCCTCTGACCAATCAGAGCAGAGTAGACAAATCATAACAGACTGGGCCCTCTGACCAATCAGAGCAGAGTAGACCAACCACAACAGACTGGGCCATCTGACCAATCAGAGCAGAGTAGACAAATCTTAACAGACTGGGCCCTCTGACCAATCAGAGCAGAGTAGACAAATCTTAACAGACTGGGCCCTCTGACCAATCAGAGCAGAGTAGACAAATCATAACAGACTGGGCCATCTGACCAATCAGAGCAGAGTAGACAAATCTTAACAGACTGGGCCCTCTGACCAATCAGAGCAGAGTAGACAAATCTTAACAGACTGGGCCCTCTGACCAATCAGAGCAGAGTAGACAAATCTTAACAGACTGGGCCCTCTGACCAATCAGAGCAGAGTAGACAAATCATAACAGACTGGGCCCTCTGACCAATCAGAGCAGAGTAGACAAATCATAACAGACTGGGCCCTCTGACCAATCAGAGCAGAGTAGACAAACCATAACAGACTGGGCCATCTGACCAATCAGAGCAGAGTAGACAAATCATAACCGACTGGGCCATCTGACCAATCAGAGCAGAGTAGACAAATCATAACAGACTGGGCCCTCTGACCAATCAGAGCAGAGTAGACAAATCATAACAGACTGGGCCCTCTGACCAATCAGAGCAGAGTAGACTAATCATAACAGACTGGGCCATCTGACCAATCAGAGCAGAGAAGACCAATCACAACAGACTGGGCCATCTGACCAATCAGAGCAGAGTAGACCAATCACAACAGACTGGGCCATCTGACCAATCAGAGCAGAGTAGACCAACCACAACAGACTGGGCCATCTGACCAATCAGAGCAGAGTAGACCAATCACAACAGACTGGGCCATCTGACCAATCAGAGCAGAGTAGACCAACCACAACAGACTGGGCCATCTGACCAATCAGAGCAGAGTAGACCAATCACAACAGACTGGGCCATCTGACCAATCAGAGCAGAGTAGACAAATCATAACAGACTGGGCCCTCTGACCAATCAGAGCAGAGTAGACCAATCACAACAGACTGGGCCATCTGACCAATCAGAGCAGAGTAGACAAATCATAACAGACTGGGTCATCTGACCAATCAGAGCAGAGTAGACAAATCATAACAGACTGGGCCATCTGACCAATCAGAGCAGAGTAGACCAACCACAACAGACTGGGCCATCTGACCAATCAGAGCAGAGTAGACAAATCTTAACAGACTGGGCCCTCTGACCAATCAGAGCAGAGTAGACCAATCACAACAGACTGGGCCATCTGACCAATCAGAGCAGAGTAGACCAATCATAACAGACTGGGCCATCTGACCAATCAGAGCAGAGTAGCAGACTGGGCCATCTGACCAATCAGAGCAGAGTAGACCAACCACAACAGACTGGGCCATCTGACCAATCAGAGCAGAGTAGACCAATCACAACAGCCTGGGCCATCTGACCAATCAGAGCAGAGTAGACCAATCACAACAGACTGGGCCATCTGACCAATCAGAGCAGAGTAGACCAATCACAACAGACTGGGCCCTCTGACCAATCAGAGCAGAGTAGACCAATCATAACAGACTGGGCCATCTGACCAATCAGAGTAAGTTCTCAGAAAGGAGGGGTTTAGAGAGACTGGATCCTTTATCAAACTACTTAAGACACTGTGAGAAAAGAGGGGATGATGCAATGTATGTTATGAGAAAATTTGTTTTTTGATCTTGGTTGCATCTAAACTTATTGTAGGAGACCTAAAAAAATATTGGAATAATAGGGGCACTTTAAAAAGACACGTTTCGGAATACCTGCAATCCTCTATAATTTATTACAGTTCGAAAGGCCTCAGCCAGAGGGAAACCATTCAAATCTGTTTTGCTTCTGCAAGTCCTTGACGTACAAGTCACAATAAAAGATGTTTATGCGGACCCAGGGTACCCCCAGGATCCTCCAACTTAAATTCAAGGCTTTTTAAGACCTTTTTAATACCATTTCAAATGAAATTCAATGCCAACTTCGTACCCATTCCGACAGAAGTATGAGGGGAAAATGTCAAATCTGTATACATTTTAAACCCTAGAAAATAATTATGTACAAGGAGGCTACTTGACTGATAATTTAAGTAAAATGTTTTAATTAATTTAATACATACGCAACAGCATTGTAGCGCCCATGTGTATGTAGGCCAGTGTAATTTTGGCAGCCATTTTTTATTTAGTCTTAGTCTTCAGACGAAAATGTTTATTGGTCTTAATCACATTTGAGTCATCCAGTTTTTTATAGTTGTAGTTGACGAAAAGTCTTTGCATTTTTTGTCAACTTTTAGTCAAACTGCAGTTACTTGGTAGTTATTTTATATGTAGCACTTGTGCAGTTCTACATAATTATCCCTTTTTTACCTTTTAAAAAAAGAAAGAAATAATGCTTTAAATAAAACAATGTTCATTAAATTTGCAATGTTAAAAAACATTAAAATCGCCAGTAGGTGGCGATAACTCCCTATCTTTATGAGTGAGTCTTTGAGTCATTCATTAATTGGATCTCACGATTCGTTCAAAGCAGTGGCGTAACTATCGGTAAGCAGGGTACGCGGTTGCTTACGGGCCCGGACCAATCAGGGGCCCGCTTGACTGGAAGATATTGATTGACAGCCGGGGCCCCCTATCGCATATTACTACTTTTAGTTTGATCGCATTTTACTTTATCACGATTTTGTTTTAAATAAATAATGACAACAACATATTTTACAGATCATTAAATACATGTGTGAAACGAACAATCATGGATTTTGGTGTAATTTGTTATGAGCTGGGACTGGGGAATCCCCGGGTCGGCTGTTTAACGTTACACGCGCGCGCCACTTCATGCGTTTTCTCAGATCGGATAGCTACTGATTTATCAAAACTATTCCATTTACAGCTGGTCACATAAATGTGTTTTTGCAAAACAGATATAAATCCGATCTTCAATTTCCGCGCTATATGCAGATTTAATAGAGTTCACGTCACCGAAAGCAACAGATAAGCTGCATTTTATTGATCATCGGCAACAGTACTGGTAAGATCATTTCGTTTCTTTACTTTTAATGAAGATGATTGTGTGTTAAGCGAGCGTCTGCGACTTACTTTCACTTTGATTTGCGATAGTTTGTGCGTTGGCTTGATGAATAGATGCTCATCTGCGGTGATGCGTGTTGTTGCAGAAGCTTCATCATATCTGACTATGACATATAGCCTATAACACGCTCTCACACGTTTATTTTTTTAAGAATTTTTAGAGGAGTAAAATTGACATATGTGGTTTCAACAACCAGATGTATTTACACTTGTCCAGTTTTGTCTGGAATGCGGCCCAGACCTCCTCCTGAAGTGGTTTGAGCGACCGGATTCAAATCCGTCTCGAATGCGTTTCGAAGGGAATTTACACCTGGTCGTTTCACGATTGGATAGCTATACGATCACAGAAAAAGCATGACGTGGCCAGGTGTAAACAGTTCCTTGCGTATTGCATGCAAAAGCCTACTCGTGGACATTGCGTCATCACGTGTTGTAGGGGGCCCGCCTTGATAATCCTGCATAAGGGCCCGGTGTTGGCTCGTTACGCCACTGGTTCAAAGCCACATATTTCGTTGCAAAACAGAGCAATAAGCCTGACAATGCTGTTTTAAATGTAGAACATAACTTAATGTTACCCTTTTTTCTTTTCTTTTTTACTGTTGTAAAAAATTAATGTCACATTTGAAATCGTGTGGATATTCGGGAAACTGCATTCTTGCTCGTATGAACACTGGTGGATATCAGCCTGCATTTTGATCGCAGATTTAGTCGCACAAACAGCGCAAGCGGCTCGTGACAGAACACAGACCGACTGAATGGCACTTTAATTTAAGTAGAACATCTTAAATAAAGATCGCTGAATGCCAACCAGCTTGTCTGTGTTTTCAGATAATCCGCGCTTCAGCAGTGTAGAGAGAGAGCGCGCGCATGGTTGCCAGATACTATTGAAAAGACCGGGTAGAATATGTTCTTTTAACAGAAAAGCTCTTATTTGGGGTTTAAATTCTGTCATTTGTGGCCACAGCGGATTAAACTAGGCTAGGTACTATCTTGTTCTGTACCTCACTTGCCTAGTAACCATAGTAAAGGGGGCGCACGCGATCGCTTTTTCTGCTATGACGTGGAGCGCGAGGTGCACTCAACCAAAATTGTCTCTGACTCAACGTTGCATACTTTTTGAATTAGCCTACATTATTAACAGTTAATTTAGTTACGGTATGAACTTAATCCAAGCAAAGGCAAAAACATAAATAAGACCTTTGTAACGAAATCCAAGACTTGGTATACAAAATTCAAGGCTTTTAAGGCCTTAATTTGAGATGATCAAATTCAAGACTTTTTCAAGGCTTTTAAGACCCGCGGGTACCCTGGGACCCATATCACATGTTTACACTTGAACTTACTTTCAATGCCTCTGCTTTCGAAATCTTTCCCATGTGCCAAGTGATACAGGTATGAGTTGTTCAGCAGAGCCTTAAACAGATAAAAATAATCAATTTAACCATTGTTAAAAGCATTTTGGAAAAGGCAGAGTTTTTTAAATCACAAACCTTTGACGGAATGCAGCCCACGTTCAAGCACGTCCCGCCGAGGGTCACGTTCTTTTCCACACATACTGTCTGTGAAAGAAAGTTATATGTTACCAGCGCAGTCAAAGCAAAAGCCATTGGCATTCGTGAACCGGGTGTCAAACTGATACCTTGAAACCAAGCTGAGCTGCTTTGATGGCGGCGACGTACCCTCCAGGCCCAGAGCCCACAACTGTGACATCAGCATCAACTTTGACAGAACAAATGATTATTTGAATATCATTACATATTAGTGCATTTCACATCATTTAACTTTAAAATAAAGGCCATGGCTGAGAATTTGTAAATACCCCAGTATCGATTACTACAATAAAATGTGATTAAGTCATCTTACTTGCTGCTTTGTCAGCATATGTTCTCGCAGACAGGACTGTGGCTCCGTGCAGCTTGCAGGGAAGGTGCTGACCTCGCTGGAGTGTGCAATAGAAATAGAAACAAAAGAATGTTATTTTATTACACAGATATGGTATATCTTCTCCGTATTATATTTTGACGCTTACAAACGGCAAAGAAAATATCGGAATATATTTTAAAATAAACAATTCACAGGGAGAAAATAAACATTGATTTTAAAGCAATGAACTCAAAAGAAAGTTAATCACGAGTATTAAACAGTTGCATAATTATGTTGCAATAAAGGCAAACTCCAAAATTCTGTACCAGGATTCAAAAGTCTCCATACAAGATTAGATGAAAGATGAACATTTTAAACTTAAATTTAAACTATAAGGAAAAAAAAAAAACTTTAATAAAAATTTGAATTGTTGCCTGTTTTTAAATGACTAAAACTGAAATAAAAATATACAAAATAGTTAAATAGTAAAAAATTTTTTTTTTATATATATATATATATATAAAAATAATAAATATATATATATATATATATATATATATATATATATATATATTAAATATCATTTATATAAAAAAATTATATAACATATAAAGAAATATGTAATTTTTTGCTAAATATAAAAAAACTAATACAAAAGGACAAAAGCACATTACAAAATTAATAAAAGTTAAATATTAATATGAATATGACATTTTTTCTTTATTTCTTTAGACTAGATCACTGCCAATGAGCATCTAATACGACAATATTAAGGCACAGGGATTTTTTTTTCTTCAGTTTGTGGTTGATTATGTTTGCAGACTTTGCACTGTCTAGTACTGATGATAACCCCAAAATAAAAATAATTAGTTCAATAAACAGAAAAACTTTTTTTTTTTTTAAATCTAAATATAGCGGTCTCAATTAAAACCTAGTTTTCAGTCTACCCAGACAGCAGTTTTGGGCATCACAGGCACATTCTAGATAGGCAGCTAAATAATGTTGTATTTAAACTCGCCTGTGACGGTAAAAAGGTGGTAGTAAAAATGATGTGACCTAACGTTATATGTCAAATGACCATGAAACTACACGCTCCTGCAAGTTCAACCGATGATGACAGATTACACAACTAATTCTTAGTTGTGTAACGTAAATATTCATTAGCACTTTCGATAAATGAGATATAGATACAAGTAAATTCATGTAGCTAAATACATAAACTCAATCTGCTTCGCTTGTTTACGGGCTGACAACTGTGCACGCTGACAAGCTAACGTTAGTATGTCGGGCCTACACAGTAATAACATTGCATTTCTGTCTAAACGCTTTCTTTTCATTGTTATGGACTATGGATAGAGATTTAAAGTACAGTGTACTGGGGCACATAAAGAGCCTTTACCGTGGCGAGTGTGCGGTATAGATGGTTCCAGGTCTGCATTTTGACAGTACGTCCCTTCCGAGACCGCTTCACCTACAGCGATCGGTGTGTCCAAGGACTCGTCAATTTACGCATGCGCAGTACGGAAAGCGGTGAGTGTCGCTGCTTGATGATGTCACTCACCCAGCTCGTTTCTCAATCTGCCCCTGGAGAAACTTCTTCATATCTCACAGTCACACATTCATCGTAGTAAGCCCATTTTCATTGTTTCCAAGCAATTATTATTGCCGAATTATTTACTCTTCAAAGAACTCTAACATTCTTAAGATTGTAAAACCTTTTCCGCAGGAAGTATGGTGTATGTATTTTCAGATGGCCATTTGTTCTTCTTTACATTTGTTTTTTGTGTGTGTGTGTAATGGCAACATAACACGGAGAAACTTCAAATCGTCGTCAATTATAATTGAAACAGACTCGAATAGGGACTATATTTTAGCAAAATAAAAAAGCTTTTTGTATTCTATTTTCTACTCCTCTAAGTTTTTTAAAGTTTGTCTCTTAGTTTTAAACACAGCTTTGTATGCAACTGATTACATGATATTCATAATATTTAATATTCATTAATATACATGTGAATAAAATACATTCCTAATTATGTATGGGGGGGGGGGGGTGTTGTGCCCATTCACACTGAATATTAACGTAAAGCAAATATTGTAATATAATAATAATAATATAATATAATATTAAAACCTTTAAAATAAAGTGCATACATACTACAGTACGGAAGAAACAGTTCCCTCTAGTGGTTAGAAAAGGCAACTGATACTCGCAAACTTTTTTTCACAAGAAATGCTAATAAAGTGGGATTTTGCAACGCTCATTTTCGTGTGCGTGGGAGTAAAGTAACAGTCACAGACCATACAAAAATAAAAAGGACATTATGACGTGTTAATTTTCCCTACTGACATCCTAGATTTCTCTCAAACATCCATTCAATAATATGTAAGATTTGTCATATTTCAATTTTTGCTGGATGTAGTATCGAATTTTAGGAATTAAGTTAAATGTATTATTTTACTAAATTAAATACATTTACAAACAATGAGGTAATACAAAATTAACACATTTATATTACACAAAAATGTAAAGTTATAATGTAACTCTATATTTCCCTAAATGTATGGAAATATAGGGTAGCCAGTAACACAATCTAAAAACAGGTCGACTTTAGTTTCCCTCAGTTTCGAGAGACATAATGAGATTGAAGAGGATTACATCGGAAGTAGGTTTAAAGGTTCACTCAAATTAAGCAAAAAGGGAGAATGTGGTGGATTTAGAGCCTCAATCATCATTCACTTTCATTGAATTTTTTTTTTTCTCATATACTGAGAGTGAATGGTGGCTGAAGCTCATTTTTAACTACACAAAAGAAAGAAATTCCTACAGTTAGGAACTTCATAAGTTTTCACCAAAGACTAGGGTGAAATGCTATAATAGTTTTTCTCCTGTCTCCTACAGTGATTTCAAGACGTAATGAACAAAACCACTCTTGCTCCTGACGTTTGCCACCCCCGCTGCGCATGCGCGGTATCATAGCAACAATGATAAACACAGACGGACAGCGGCCAAGATGTCATCGCCGCGGGAGCACGAGGCGGCAGAATACCTCGAGAAACACAAAATTATTGAGCTGATGGATAATTTAACCAGTATGCTCTTCTTCTACAGACCAGGTGAGACTTTTAACGCGTCTCGTAGTAGATTTGTTACCATCATCGTATAAAAACTGTGGCATTTACCTTGCACAGCTTCAATTTAAAATTGAGAGTTTGAAATGAATAGATTGACTGTTCAGATACAGTCTTTTGTAGTGCTTAGAAATCTAGAGTAGTAACCAAATGCTTTCTTACTGTTAAAATTTGTGGTAAAACAGTAAAGGAAAGACAAACGTAATGGCCAATCTCTCATGAATCCTGCCATTACAGATCGTCCAAGGGAATTTCTGATCGACCAACTGGAAAAGCTCAGCCTTTCCAAAGCTCGTGAAGGAAACACTCCGTGCCTCTTCAACGAGTCCAATTTAGATGCTCTGTTTGGAGTCCTGGATCCTTCCCATCAAGGCTTTATTACTCATGGTCAATACAAAGAAGGTAAATCTCTTAGAATGTTGCAGAGGTTGTGAAAGCCTTTGTCCTTTTAGGAAAACCTGTGCTGTAACTACACCAAAAAACAAAACAAAACAATAATAGTAAAATGTGAATGCACTATAAGTAACTTTGGATAAAAGTGTCTGTCAAATAATGCGTGTTAATAAATGTAAAATGTACCAACAGACTTGTTTCTGAATGGAGCATTTATATATATTGTTTTATATTATATTATATTTAGTGCTATCAAATCGATTAATGGCGATTAATCGCATCTAACAAAAGCTTGTGTTTATTACTTACTACTTTAAATGCTCGAGCGAGCTTGTTACAGCTGGATACTGATTGGCTGTCTTTGTTTTTATTGTTCATCATCTGGATAAAATCGTTCTGAACGTGATTCAGTTTCTCTGTGCTGTTATCTTATAGCTAATGTTGAGAACGATTTTTAAAACTAGGCCTAATGCCTATATCTTTATTGTTATTTTTATAGTTATCGTCCTTGGTGTGAACGGGTCTTAAAGGTGCTCTAAGCGATGTCACGCGTTTTTACAGCAAACATCTCCTCACCATCCGCTAGCTGCCTGTCCCCTGAACACACTGTAAAAAAACGCGGTCTCTGTAGACACCCCAGGCTCCACAAACGGCAACAAAAACAAACTGGGGCAACCCGCTCCACAAAACATAACAAACACTGTTCCAGCCAATGACCGACAAGAAGGATTTGAGGGGGGTTTGGGGGGTTAGGGCGCGTACACATGAAGAGGTGTGTGGAGGAGAGAGAAGCATGAAGAGGGAAGTTAGAATTATATTCTCTTTAAGTTTGATATGGCCGACACACGACCAAAGAGACGACTTTCCGATGAACAAAATGCAAAGTAGAGGGAAAAGGATAATGAACGCGCGAAGTCCCGAATAAACATTGGAAAAGCCTTCGAAAGGTGGCAAGAACTCCGCCGGCAGAAGGGCTTCCAATCCGACATTCAGGTAGCTCTGTTTTTGCTGGACAGGTAAATCCATTTTTTTGTTTTTCTAAATGGACGTTCATGTTCGCCTAACCAACACAAGGGAGGGGGAGGGGACAGGATGAGGAGGAGGAGGGAGGGTCTAGCTAGTCTCCGTTTTGTTTGACAATACTTCGAATGTCAATAAGAAGTGACGACACCCAACATCGCTTAGAGCAGCTTTAAGGGATAATCATGCACATCCATCCGGTTGTTGTCGCAGAATAAACCCCGACAGGGTGATCAGGATTAGGGTCTTCCTTCAGCCTGAAGGGGTTTATTTTGAGAGAACAACCGGCTGGATGTACATTATCCTGCTAGCAACTGCTCTCTCCGCGGAAGCTTTGCATTTAAAGACCTAATAAAATATTTCAACTCAGATAAATATTTCGTGTCTAATTATTTACTTATGTGGCAAGTAGCCGTGTAATAAGCAGGATAATTGCGCGGCAAGACGGGTATTTAAGAGATACGCTATATACAGTCATACCACTTATTACACAGCATTTCGCCACATAAATAATTTTGGAGATAAGAGATATTGATTTCAGATTAAACTGTTTTGTTTGTGTCTTAAAATCCAACAGTGTACAAAACAATAGTCACAAAATGGCAGCAGCTGCTTTTGTATGAAAAAAGAGAGCGCGAATCCACAAAACTGGATGGCATGACTGAGTTTTTATAATTTATTAGCTCACCAAATGCAAACCTTCCACGAAGAAAACCCGTTCCTAGCAATGTATAGCGCTGCTGACTTCAGTAACCCGGATGAGCCTGCGTTATCGGCTTTGAGCGGTTGTTATCTGGGAATAACACACCGCTGGATGGCGCTATTGACCAATCAGAATCAAGTATTCCACAGAGCAGAGCCATGTAATAATCTGCGATAACAAATGGCTGAATGTACTTTCTCCCGCTTTTTACACGGCTACTTTCCACAAGTAAATAATTAGACATGAAATATTGACTTAAGTTGAAATATTTTATTAGGTCTTTAAACGCAAAGCTTCCACGGAGAGAGCAGTTGCTAGAGTAGACGCACATTTAAGCGATACCGTACAGTCATACCACTTATTACATGGCATTTCACCACATAATAAATTATGGAGATAAGAGATATTGATCTGAGATGAAACTGTTTTAAAATCATACCTGTTTGTTATCTTATAATCCAACAATGTTCTTCCCAAAATGGCAGCAGCTGCGTTTGTGTGAAACAAGACAGAGCGAGTCCGTGATACTGGATGACATAACAACTGTACACAAAATATTGATTTGAGTTTTAATATTTTATTAGTTTACCAATCGCAAAACTTCCACAAAGAAAAACAGTTCCTAGCAAGCATATAGCGCTGATTTCAGTTACCCGGATGAACCTGTGCTATCTGTTTTTACTGGTTGTTATCGGGGAATAATACACCGCTGGATAGCGCGATTGACCAATCAATAATAAGTAGTAAGTCATGGAGAAACACTGACCCAAGAATTACCCTAATGTACTGCGACTTTAACAGAAGATTTCTCTGAAATCTTCCATTAAGTTGTTTTGTTTATAATTCATGAGTATAAGAATTACACTTGTGGTCTGACTCAGTATTATACGCACAACATTGCTTCCCCGCAGCACTGAAGACACTTGGCATCAAGAATTTCAATGAGTTCCCGGATGGAGCCAGTGATGACAGGATATCACAAGAGACGTTCATAAGAGAGGCGTAAGTAAAACTACTGCTTAAAAAAGAAATATGGGATCGTTTGAATATTCAAAGGCGCTGAATTCAGACCTAATACCTAATGCAAACACTATACGCCCATGCTTTATTGTAGATATTTATTATATGAGCAGTTTGTTATACCTTTGAATATAGTTTATCCATATTTCTCTATTTCTCTGTTTAGGACAGAAGGGCTTGTCAGAAGTTCAGCAACATTCCAGCTATAGGTGAACTCAAGAACTCTGTCCTTAAAAATACGTATCTGTAAACTAGCTTTTGTAATGATTTATTTTATATAGAATACA